CCGAAATTCAACGATCTACATACTCCTGTGGCTTCGACTCCGGGTAAGCAACCATTTATTACGCGCAAGAAGAAGGACCTCCCGGCTAATGCTATCCTTGTGCCAAAAGGGAGGGATGACACATTCCCAGTGTTAGTGGAAGGGGCGAAGACGCCCACCAGTGCAACCGATGAAAATACGCTATTGCCGCGGAGGGGCATGGTTCCTCCTATAGTTAAATGATTGTCGCCTGCTGGAACGTGAGGGGATTAAACAATGCCCTCACGCAAAACGAGGTCGCCGACCTCATTAGGAGACATAAGGTGGATGTTTGCGGTTTATTGGAGACGAAAGTATGGGATCCGGGGGTGTTGGAAGGGATAATGTCTCGGAAATTCCGGCATTGGGGACAGGTGAATAATTTCCAACTTCATAGGGCGGGCCGTATTCTATTGATATGGAATCCGGCAGTGGTTCAGGTGGAGACGATGGGAATGACGGACCAACTCATTCATTGCAAGATCTCTTGTCTTGTGTCGCAACGGCAAATTCAGGTGAGCTTTGTATATGGATGGTTTACAATTACTTCTCGCAGGCCGTTGTGGACGTCGCTTGCAAACTACGGTCAATCTTCTGCTTTACCGTGGCTATGCTTAGGGGATTTCAACACGGTTAGGCGACCGGTTGAAAATCGGGTGGCAATGCTGTGACCCCTTATATGGTTAATGATATCCAAGAGTGTTGTCGGGTTACCGGATTGGATGACTTAACCTCTACGGGATTTTACTATACTTGGTCAAATCATACTGTGTGGAGCAAGCTTGACCGAGCTATGGTGAATCCGGTTTGGCTGCAAACGTATGGCAGCAGCTCGGCTACTTTCTTACCGTTCGGGAAGCATTCGGACCACTCGCCGATCTTAGTAAAGATGGGGGTGGATGGGGAGCCGGTCTCTCGCCCGTTCCGATTCTTCAATATGTGGACGATGCATGGGGATTTTAAAACAATTGTTCAAGACGTTTGGACAGCGGATCGTCAAGGAAGCCGACAATGGGCGGTGATCAAAAATCTTAAGGCATTGAAATCCCCTCTCAAGAGCCTTAACCGGAACGAATTTGGTCACATTTCGGAACGAGCTAAACGGGCATCTCATGATCTTGAGGAGAGCCAACAGCAGCTGCATGACGATCAGCATAATGCAGCCCTGCAACAAGAGGTACTTAGTCGATCGGAGAAGGCGAAATTTCTCACAAAAGCGGAACGAAGCTTCTACTACCAAAAGGCGAAGCTACATTATTTGAAGAACAGCGATCGGCCGACGAAATTCTTTCATGGCATGGCTAAACGTAATGCTCAACGGAACCACGTGGCATCTATTCGCCGTGCGGACGGGACGATGACCACTTCACGTGAGGAAGTCCATGCAGAATTTTTGAAGTTCTACATGGAATTCTTAGGAACACGTCAGCCTTGTGATGCTATTGACTTGGGGGTTCTACATTCCGGGCCAAGGATTCAAGAGGATGATGGAGCTGCTCTTATGGGACCAATCCTTAATTCGGAAATAAAGGATGCGTTGTTTGATATCTCGGACGACAAGGCTCCGGGACCGGACGGTTTTTCCGCCCACTTTTTCAAACACTCATGGGACACGGTTGGGCCACTCTTGACGGAAGCAGTGCATGAATTTTTTCGGAGTGGCTCTTTGCTGAAGCAATGGGATAACACGGTACTTGTCTTTATTCCGAAGAAAGTACAAGCTCAAGAAGTAGGGGATTTTCGACCAATAGCTTGTTGCAATGTGATCTATAAGGTCATTGCAAAAGTCCTCACCACCCGTTTAGGCAGCGTTCTACCAAAGATTATTGATAAAGCACAATCAGCGTTCGTGGGGGGGAGATCGATCACGGACAATATACACTTGGTGGAACATCTTATTCGGCATTACGAGAGGAAGCGTATTTCGCCTAGGTGCTTGTTGAAGATGGACTTACGCAAAGCATATGACTCGGTTAACTGGGAATTTCTCCAAGCTATGTTGGAGGGCTTGGGTTTCCCAGTTAAATTCACGGGATGGATTATGCAATGCGTAACTTCGGTATCTTATTCGATCTCGGTTAACGGTGAAACGAAGGGATTCTTTCCAGCAATGCGTGGATTGAGGCAAGGAGATCCCTTATCGCCCTACTTGTTCGTTATATGCATGGAGTATCTTTCCCGACTTCTTCATGTACGTCCGATTGAACAAGAACTCAACTACCATCCGATGTGCCATCTCCACAAGATAACACATCTGATTTTTGCGGACGATCTAATGGTATTTTCTCGAGGAGATGTGGAATCGGTCCGTATCCTCGCCAAGACGGTCTACGAATTTGGGCAGGTTTCGGGGCTCAAGGCAAATCATGCGAAGTCTAATATCTTCTTAGCGGGAGTTAAACCGGGGGACCGATTAGAGATCGAAAACGAGTTTCACTTTGCCAATGGAGAGTTTCCGTTTCGATACCTTGGGATTCCACTCGCTGCATCTAAGTTACGAGTGCTCAACCATCAACCATTGCTCGATAAAATCGAGCAAGCCATAGGAGCGTGGACTCGCCAAACACTCTCTTATGCCGGACGATTGGAGATTTTGAAAACCGTGGTTCAAGGTACGTGCTGCT